GGCTACAGTCCAGTGGACCAGAAATTTTTAAGAGCTACTGTAAATGGACTAGAGTTTGGAAACTACCAATAATACTAAGGGCATCTAAAATGGTAATCCCTTCTAAAAGATGTACAAAATCAAGTTGTAGAAAATAGTCCATTTACTGACTACAACCTCAAAGCTATGAACATGGAGGAGTGGGACAGAGGCTAGGAACAGATGTTGCATTTGTCTCTGGACAAGTTGTGCCTGCATTTGTCCCAGAACAGAAATATCCTGGGATTGGCATGTACACACATCACCCTTGTAGTCAAGCTTTAGTGAGCAGTCGAATGCACTGGTGTCTTTCTGCCATTTGTTCAATGATGCCACAAATTAGGCAAAATTGATTCAATGATGCAATCCTGGGATAACTGTTCAGGCATACATTGTGATGTCCCAAGATAAACTGCTCATACTTATTACCCCATTATTCCGGGACCACAAACATGGATGTCTGAATGTTTGCATTTTGTCCTGGGATAAAATGGTTTACCTTGGGACAGATTGAACATCTGTTTGTAGCCAAAATAGTTTAGAAGCATTTTTTTTCCTTCTAATCTGGTTAAGAGGTATTATCTTAAGGGTACTGCTTACCTTGGCTTGCTCTGCTTTTCTAGGGATAGTGTAATTAGCACTGAGCACAATAGTTACCTTTCTTCTTTCTTTTTTTTTATGTATATTAAAATATTAGTGGAGGTATTTCTTGTGTGTTCTTCAGGAATTCTGCAGAGGGGGAAGTTGGTACCTTTAAGGAAAGGACTGAGGACTAGATCTACAAAGGGACTGTGATGCTGCAAGCCTGAGATAGCTGTCAAAGCTCTCTACAGTACAGGCAACCCGCGCTTATCGCTTTTAATTGGTTCTGGAAAAAACGAGTGTTAAGCAGAGCAGCTTTAAGCGAAACCCATTTTCCCAATGGGAATTAATGTAAATAAATATAATTTGTTACCAGAGCACCCAGCAGCAGCAACATGAGCACCTGGTAGCTCAGAGCCAGCTTGGCCCAGGCTGTGGAGGGAGTGCTCTTGGACCCCTCCATACCAGGTGGCAGGCAGGGGGGTGGTCATGGCCACAGTCGCGGTCACTCCAGGCCAGCTCCCCCTTCTCTCAGCTGGCACAGCCCAGCCTGGCTCCATAAAGCCCCTGCCAGTCTGGGCCCCATGCTCCTGCCATCCTGCCCTGGGCCCCTGCCGGCCCTGGCACTGGGGCACGGGCATGGGCCCCGTGCTCACGCCTGCCCGCCCACTTAGTGCCACTTGCCTCCCTGCCTGCTGCTGCTATTTCCCTGCTTTTCTGCCCGCCACTGCCACTTCTCCCCACCTGCCCGCCAGCTGCTCTGGCACCACGTGCCGAAGCGTTATAACGAAACTCACTGAGCGCTAAGTGGAATCAGGTATGAATGTAAAATGAGCACTGTAGCAAAACAGTGCTAAGCGAAACAGCGTTAAGCTGGGGTTGCCTGTATATGGAGAAAGTTAAGCACCTACTCTGTACTACAAAGTTTTGTCAGCATAGTCATAGTAGCTAGAGGAGGGAGGAGGAGTGAAAAAGACCATAGTTCTTAGCTATGCTGACATGAGTCTTGGTGTTGGCTCAGTTATGCTAACAAAAAGTATTTTTGTTGGCTTAGCTCTTGTCATTTAGGGGGTGGCCTGGCTATATTGGCAGAAAAAAATTCTGTTAGCATACACTACAAATCAAATCCTGATTTGGAATGGACTAAATTTGGCCTAGTGTAAAGGGCCAGCCCACAGTCTACCCACTACTTCAGGCTTTCTTGTGCTCTGTTTTCTGGTTTAGGGTCTTATTAGGGTCTAATCATAGTCTTAGGGTCTAATCACAGTCATAGCAATCTAGGGCTGGAAGAGACCTCAGGCCACAGGGCAGAAACACCTCTGCCTAAGCTATCCCAGACAAATGTTTGTTTAATCTGTGTGTGAAAGCATGCAGTGTTGGAACTTCCACAATCTCCTTAATCTGTTTCAATACTTCAGGGCTGTCCAATTTTTGGGGGGAATTGGGCTGACAAACATCCTGTAGGCTGCAAACCCCTGACTGGCATGAGCATGGGCTGCACACCACAGGTCGGGTCCCATTGGGGTTCACCCCTGCTGTGCAGGCAGCCCATTCCCCTTGCTCCCCATATGCAACCCAGACTGCACCACGGTCACCCCATATCTGCTCCTGGCCCTGCTTTCAGCCATGCATGCGGTCTGGGCAGCCCCACTCTGCTCCCAGTGGTGCATGCAGCAAGGCTTTGCTCCTGGCTGTACATGCAAGCCCAATCAGGCCCAGCCAGGCCCACTGTGCTTCAGCTTCTCTCTTCCTGGCTGTGCAGAGAGCGCAGGCAACAGAAACCCCTCCCTGGCCCTTCTTCCATCACAATGCCTGGCCTCCAGGAGCAGGGCAGGAAGCAGAAGCCAGAAGAGAGAGGCAGAGCACAGAGCAGCTGGAACCATGTGGGGAGTGGTGGCCAGCTAGGAGCCTGCAAGCCACCAGTTGGATATCCCTGTAATACTTAATCACCTTCATATTTAGAAAGTTCTTTCAAATATCCAACTTAAATCTCACTGGTTGCCTATTAAACCTGTTACTTCTTGTCCTGTCTCCTGTGAGCATAGAACAATTACTTACAACAATCCATTCTGTATTTGAAGACTGCGATCAAATTCCCCCTTAGTCTTTTCTTAAAGGTGAATAATCCAAGTTCTTCCAATCTTTCTTCATCTGTCATGTTCCATAGACCTTGAATCATTTCTATTGCTTTCCACTGGATTCTTTCTAATTTATCTGCGTCTTCCTTGAAGTGTGGCACTCAAACAGGGCCTCACTGCCCCATCAGGGAGTAGAGTGAAAGAATCTTTTCCCACTTATTAAGCTGTCGACTTATATTTAGCTTTGCAGTTTGCTGTAACTCTCCCATTGTTTTCTGCATTACTGCAGCCTGACCAGTCTTTCCCCATTTTCTATTTGTACATTTTATTCTTTCTTTTTTTTTTTGCACTTATCCTTATAGAACTTAATCTGATTTATTTCATACTGATTCTCAAATTTGTTCAGGTCATTTTGAATCCTATTCCTGTCTTGTAAAGCAGGGCTGTCCAATTGATAAACTGTGGCTGGTGGCAATGGCTGAGGTTTCTGGACTCCCCCTCCCTCCTTTGGCTTCTAGTTCCTGCCATGCTTCTGGGCCCAGGGCAGCAACAGTGGGAGGGGGGCAGACTACCCAGGCTGTGTGTGGCAGGGAAGGGTACCAGGCTTAGTGCACACTAAGTGTTTGGCATGGGAGGGAACCAGGCTGTCTTTGCTGAGTGCTGCAGCACATGTGGCTAGGAAGCAAGCTGGGACGCATACACGGTGAGAGGCGGCTTTGGAGGAGAGGTCAACTCCTGTGATGTGTAGCCCTGGGGTCTGCAGCCTGCCCTGTGTGATGCTCCCAGCTGCCTAGAAGTTGGACAGCCCTGCTATAAAGTGCTGCAACCTTATAAGTGCAAACTTATGAAGTGTACCCTCAGTCCTATCTGTCAAGTCAGCTCCTGAATGGTGCTGAACCTAGAACAGACATCTGAGAATCCCACTTGATAATTTTTCCCAATTAGACACTGAGCCATGGACTATGCTTCGAGTTCAATTTTCCATCCAGTTATAAAATCCCCTTCTCTAGGATTTTCATGTAGGCTATATTTTCTTACCTTCATTCTGAAAATGGGAGACAGTTTCTAAAGCTTTGCTAAAGTCAAAGTATAGCACGTAGATATGCTCTCCACCCATCTGCAAAGCCTGTCACCATGTCATAAAAGAAAATCATAGTGGCTAAGCATGGGCTGCTGTTCACAAATCCATGGTAGTTGTTAGTTATCACCTTGTTATCTTAAATTCTTTGCACAAATAAATATCTTGTGAAGTATTACATTGACCAGTCTGTAATTCCATGGGTCTACCTTTTCTGTTTTTTAAAGATGGGCACTGTATTTGTTCTTTCCAAAGTGTTATGGGACCATGTCTACCTCTATCAGTTCTCAAAGATAATAGTCAATGGCTCTGCAAATACCTGAGACAGTGTTTCTAGCATGAGCCTCATCAGGCCCTGATGATTTGAAAATATCTAGCTTATCTAAGTAGTCTTTAATCATTTTTTTTTCTTTACTTAAGGCTGGTTAGCCTTGCTGCTGAGTTTGCCATCTGTTAGTTGATTTTTTTTGAGGGGGAGATGTGGGGGCTAGGAACTGAGGTAAAAAAGGCATTAAACTCTTCAGGCTTCTCCACATCAACTCGTGCTAGTCACCCCTTCCAGTTCAGTAAGGGACACTGTACTTGATCTTCATCTTACTTGTAGCAGATTTATATAATGCTTTTTGTTGCCTTTTACATCCTTTGCTAGCTGTATTTCATTATGTGCCTTGGCCTTCTGTATCCTGTCCATATTATACTTGTATGCTCATCTTTATTGCCAAGTTTCCATTTTTGAAGATTCTTTATTAAATTTCAAGTAATTGAAGAGTCCACTGTTTAGCCAAGCTGGTATCTTGCTACATTTCCTGTCCTTCGTTTGCACTGAGATAGTATGCTGTTGTGCCTTTAATATTGTCTCTTTAAGGAACAACTAACTATCTTTGATTCCTTTATCCCTTAGATTTGCCTTCCATGGGATCCTGCCTACCAAGTCCTTAACTTTTCTGATATCAACAGGTGTTTACACATGTGCTCTGGGAGTGTGTGTGCACGTGTGGAGGGGCACTTTAATTTGAGTAACTCCGAGAGCCGCTTTAATTAAAGAACCAGAGCATCTTGTATATCAGCATCCCAAGTTGAAAAATGGCGGTGGGGGTGCTTTAAGTAAAGCTCAGTCCAGCAGACTCAATTAATAAAGTCTGCTCCAACGCACTGTAATTACAGTGTGTTGGAGCAGCCTCGCTGCACATGTATAGGTGTCCCATAATTTTAATTCTGATACTCTCCTTCTTTTTTTTCCCTAGGATCATGAACTGTTATTGGCTAGGCACAGACAGTCAAAAAGCCTGAGACTGAATTGATTCAGTCTTTGCAGGTTAGTCTAAGCTGTACAGATTAAATTGAAACAGAAGTGAACAGTCATTTACCTTTGACCCAAGAAATGCAGTCACATGCCTTCAATGGCTCAGGCCAGAAGCTGGGGGGGGCGTTAGAGCACAGCTCTCTGGCTGTGTGTTCACTTCCTCTTCCTACTGCCCTCAAGGTCTCTGGGATTTGCAGTCCAAAATCACAGCAGTAGGATTCTGCAGGGTTGTTCATCACTTCCTCTTCCTGCTTCCAGGTGCCTCTGAGATTTGTAGTCCATAGTCGCAGCAAGAAGTAAGCTTGAGTAGGGGAAGGGGTGCTTAACCCTTCTCCCTGGCCCCAGACCCCAGCTGGGGTTTGCTTGGAGGGGATATTCCCCCCCACAGACTGGGTTGCATTCTCAGCCACCCCCTCCCCCCCCTTGTCAGCCAGCCCTCACTGCTCCAGCTAGGGAGCAAGGGGGCAGGGCCAGCCCTGCTCTCTGGAACAGACAGCACAGCCCAGCCTAGCCTAGGGCTGAAAAGCATGCTGGGATGCTGAGGGACTCTGATTTAACTTGATTTAACTTGAACCAGGAAGGGGTCTGGGACAGAAGCTCCATAAACCGGTTTGACCCAAATCAGTTAAATCTGATACTACATTTAAGATAAGTCACTCGTCATAGGCGACTCCATCCTGAGCGGTACAGAGGGTCCCATCTGTCACCAGGATCCCATGTCATGTGAGGTCTATTGTCTGCCTGGACCGAGGATTCAGAATGTGACGGAGATGATCCCGGCCATTATCCGGCCTACCGATTACTACCCCATGGTCCTAATCCATGTGGGCACTAATGATGCAGCCAGGAGCAGCCCTGATTGCCTGATGAAGGACTACCAAGCTCTGGGGAGCAAGCTGAAGGAGACAGGGGTACAGGTGGTCTTCCAGTGAGCGGACGCGTACGATGCCATGAGACCTGCATCAGGGAGGTCAACCTGCGGCTTCAGAAATGGTGTCTCGAGGCAGGCTTTGGCTTTTTGGACAATGACCCATACTTCAGGACAAGAGACATGTTCAGTTGAGATGGGCTGCACCTCTCCCCCAAAGGTAAACGTGTGTTCTCTTTCAGGTTGGCCGATCTCCTCTGGCGGGCTTTCAACTAGGCTCGTCAGGGGAGGGGGAAGATGAGGATGGAAGGAGCCATGGAACACCGAACCAAGAGCCACCCACAAGAACAGCCCAGCCAAGACAGGCAACGAGCACAAGAAATACCCAGGTAAGAGACAGGGGCCCAGATAGTCCTGGGATTAGGGGGGCAGTGCATACACCTCCAGGAGGCCTTAAATGTCTCTACACTAATGCTTGTAGCATGGGGAACAAGCAGGAGGAGCTTGCCCTCCTGCTAGCTAACATTAACCCGAACATAGTGGGGCTCACTGAAACTTTGTGGGATCCAATGCATGACTGGGCAGTGAACATCAAGGGCTTTAGGCTATACAGGAGGGATAGAATAGGGAGGAAAGGTCCCCACCTTTGACATGTGGTGCTCTACGTCAAAGAGCAATACACATCCTCAACAAACAGCACTGGGTCAGAGGAGGGGAAAACTGAAGTGCTCTGGGTCCGTATACAAGAGGGTCGGGAGGAAAGGGACTTAACAGTAGGGGTTTACTACAGGCCACCCAACCAGGGGGAAGAGCTGGACTGGGAATTCTCAGGTCAGCTTGCGGAGGCAGTTAAGTCAAGGGATGTGGTCATCATAGGTGACCTAAACTACCCAGACATCTGCTGGGAAGAGCAGTCAGCCAGGTCTGACTGCTCATGTAGGTTCCTAGCTGAGTTACAGGACCTCCATCTAACCCAGGAGGTGCACAGTCCCACCAGGGGAAATGCCTTGTTGGACCTGGTCCTGGCCACGGGCGACGACCTGATGAGTGGACTGCAGGTGCTTGACCACCTGGGCAATAGTGATCATTGCCTACTGGAATTCACCATCCAGCGCAGGGTGTCAAAGGCCTGCAGCAAGGCAACAGCCCTAGACTTCAGGAGGGCAGATTTCAATGAGGTAAGAAGACTAGTCAGGGAGGCACTGAAGTCCCGGAAGGGAGGGGAGTTGGAAGTCCAGGAAGAGTAGTCGCTCCTTAAGGAGATGAGCCTCCAAGCCCAAAGGGTGACAACCCCAATGCGGATCGAAAGGGGCAAGAGTGCTCAAAAGTCCCCATGGCTCACCAAAAGCATCCAGGAATGTCTCAAAGCCAAAAAGGAGGCATACACCCAATGGAAGAGAGGGGCTATCACCAAGGAGGATTATACCTCCATTGGTCAAGACTGTAGGGAGGCTGTTAGGAAGGCTAAGGTGGAGATGGAACTGGGATTAGCGACCCTGATCAAGGATAACAAGAAGTCCTTTTTTAAATACATAGAGGGTAAAAAGAAGGTGCTGGGTAATGTAGGACCTCTGCAGGATACACTAGGAAATCTAGTGGTCACACCAGACGACAAAGCTAACCTTTTAAACAATTTTTTTGCCTCCATCTTTTTGAGCAGGGACCGGGGCGTCCCCCCCACCGGGATCCCTGACAGACCCAGGGGAGGTGCTGCCAGGCCCAGGGTCAGTGAGGACCTAGTCAGGGAACTTCTGGTGGGTCTAGATGTGTTCAGATCAGCAGGTCCTGACGATCTCCACCCCAGAGTGCTGAGGGAATTAACAGAGGTCATTGCAGGACCCCTGGCACAGCTTTGCGAGCACTCATCGTGCTCTGGCAAGGTGCCAGAGGACTGGAAAAGGGCCAGTGTGGTCCCGTTTTCTAAAAAGGGAGGAAGGAGGACCCAGGAAACTACAGGCCTATTAGTCTTACCTCGGTCCTGGGGAAGCTCTTTGAGAAAATTAACCAGGAGCACATCTGCAAGGGACCAGCAGAGGGGATCATAATTAGGGGCAATCAACATGGGTTTATTCGAGGCAGGTCCTGTCAGACCAACCTGGTGGCCTTCTACGACCAGGTCAAAAAATCCTTGGACGCAGATGTCACGGTGGACGTAGTCTTTCTGGACTTCAGGAAGGCCTTCGACACTGTCTCTCACCCCATTCTCATTAAGAAATTAGGCGACTGTGGCATCGATGCCTACACAGTCAGATGGGTTGCAAATTGGCTGGAGGGCCACACCCAGAGAGTGGTGGTGGACGGGTCTTTTTCGACCTGGAGGGATGTGTGCAGTGGGGTTCCCCGGGGCTCGATCCTCGGGCCTGCACTGTTTAACATCTTTATCAGCGATTTGGACGAGGGGGAGAAAAGCACTTTGTTCAAATTCACAGATGACACTAAAATGTGGGGAGAAGTGGGCACGGTGGAGGAGAGGAACAGGCTGCAACTAGATCTAGACAGATTACAGGGGTGGGCAGATGAGAACAGGATGAGATTCAATACTGAGAAGCGCAAGGTGCTGCACCTGGGGAGGAAGAACCAGCAGCATATCTACAGGCTGGGGAACTCCCTTCTCGTCAGCAGAGGCAGAAAAGGATCTTGGTGTCATTATTGATTCCAAAATGAACATGGGCCGCCAATGTGGGGACGTGGTCAGGAATGCTAACCACACCTTGTCATGCATCCACAGATGCATCTCAAGCAGGTCCAAGTGTAGCAAAACCCCCAGTTTTTCTTTTTTTCTTTAAATGCATTCCCTCCCCTTCCCCAACCATTTCTGACTTTTTTTTCTTTCCCTCTATATTCCCTATAGATAAGTATAAGTGAGCTAAGACATAGGATAAGCTTCAGGATTTTATTTTGGTAGCAAGTTGTATTTGTTTTGTTTTTTCTCCTTCTTTATATTATATAATTATTATGTTTATATTGATTTTTACTGTTCTATATTACTGTTTTACTGGTACTAAATGATTTAGGCCTACATATGTAAGTTAGCATAAGTCATGTCAAGTTTCCATTTTGTTTGTCAAGTCTCCATCCTGTCCCGAGGCCTGGTTCTGTAACTGATGACTCACACCTACCCCACCTATGTAACTTGGTTCCTGAATGAATAGGGATGAATGAGGGTGCTTGAGAGACAATGGCAGTAGGTCTAAAAATAACTCCCTCTGAATGACCGAACTATCAACACCAATACCTGGACTAACGACCCAGCCCTTGGATCACCCTCAGCATTCCAGAAACAAAAGTTGAGGGAACCCACCATTGTGCCATGCTCAGTAAGAACACCTGGAACCCTCTGGAACAGGACTGACATTGTCTGAGCAGGCCCTCCCCATAGGAGATCAGAGGTAGTCTGCCCCATAAAAAGGGGGAGTGAAGACTGGCTCCTTGAGATGCCCTCTCCATCTGGACCAGCACCATGCCACACCACCTATCCACCCAGAGGCCCTGCTGGTGACCCCCCTCTGGACAACACCTACTGGACAGGGACCCCTTTCCAGCCTGGATAGGTAGCTATCACCCCCTACCCCCTCTTCAGCCAAGGACTTGGACTCTGTTTCTCTTCCCTACCTGGACTCCAACCCTTCCAATGAGTCTCTTTCTCCTGCTGCCATTGTGCGTGCTTGTGTGTGTGTGAACCATTAACTTCATGGGGCTGTGTAGTGTGTTGTCTGTTTAATAAACCTGTTATTTTGAAAGCCCGAGTTGGGTTTTTGTCTGTTTCCTGACTGGTTCCTCGCCACCACTTATCTGCTCCCCCAGTCTCTAAGCTATCAGCCTGTTTCCAACCCCAGCCTCCCAGGTTTCTGCCTCTCTCTCTCTTTCCTGGCTGCCTCCTCCTTGCCCCCCCTCCCCCCCCCGCAAGTATCTCAGCTGTCTGCCTCAGTTTCCAGCCCCAGTCTACCTTAAGTAACCTCAAGCTTCAGTTCATCAGCCAGCTTCTCTCTCTAGTCTACCGGTTCTAATCTTAGTTTTGGCAACTTTCACCCCTACATTTTAACTCTTTCTCTCTCACCTTAACCTTCCCCCAAGTACCCCAGGTACCCCAAGCACACACACACATACCGTGCCATCCAAGTTAGGAACTTACCTATGTGTAGGTGGGTTGTATGTGTGTGAACTGGTGAGAGTGTGTGTGTGTGTGTATGTCATTGTGTGTATGATATATGAATTAGTAATCTGTGTATGTGTAATAGAGTGTGCGGGTATGGACAATTGATTTTTGTCTAACCTTTGGGATGTATAATGTATGTACTTGAATTGGTGATAGGTATGTATGTGCCTAGGCTGGTTTGGATGTGTATGTGCCTGAGTTGGTAGTGTGTGTGTGTGTATGCATCCAATTGATTTGTGTGTTTGTATATGTGCAATTGTGTCACACCCTCCTATCTAACAGTGCAATATTGAGATCCTGAGAGTTGGCCTGACCCACAGTGCAACACAAGGAGGTGATCCTCCCCCTCTATGCAATACTGGTCAGGCCGCACTTGGAGTACTGTGTCCAGTTCTGGGTGCCACACTTCAGGAGGGATGTGGACAGCATTGAGAGGGTCTAGAGGAGGGCCACTCGCATGATCAGGGCGCAGCAGGGCAGGCCCTACAAGTGGAGGTTATGGGACCTGAACCTGTTCAGCCTCCACAAGAGAAGGATGAGACGGGATCTGGTGGCTGTCTATAAGCTTGCCCAGGGGGACCAGCAGGCTATGGGAGAGTCCCTGTTCCCCTGAGCACTACCGGGGGTCACGCGGGATAATGGCCATAAGTTGACTGAGAGTAGATTTAGGCTAGACATCAGGAGGCGCTACTTCACAGTCAGGGCGGCTAGGATCTGGAACCAACTTCCAAGGGAAATGGTGCTGGCTCCTACCCTGGGGGTCTTCAAAAGGAGGCTGAATAATTACCTAGCTGGGGTCATTTGACCCAGTATTCTTTCCTGCCCATGGCAGGATCGAACTTGATGAACTGCTCAGGTCCCATCCGACCCTACCAACTATGAAACTATTTAACCATTATCTTAAATCAGTTTCAGCCATTTTGAAACTGGTTTATGTACACTGAGCTTCTGTTCTGTTACCAGCTTAAACCAGTTTCTGATCACTTAAACCAGTTTATGTGCGACTTCTGTCCCTAGCTATTTTGTCTATGATCACTTTCAGCTAACTTACGTGCTACCCTCAGATCCTCGGCCAATTCCTCTCTGTTGTTAAGTACCAACTCAAGAAGAGCTTCTCTTCTGTTTGTTTCTTTCACCATCTATACAGAAAGATGTCTCCAACACAATCCAGAACCTTTCTGAAGTGTCTGTGTACTACTATATTACCTTTCCAGCCTAAATCATAGCAATTAAAGGCCCGCTGTTAGGAATGCATCCTGTAACTTGGATGCTTTATTTGTTTAAAAGAAAGACCACTTTCTCCTCCTGGTTTGGTGTCTGTTGTAGCACCACCCTTACTGTTTGCTTCTTTTGCCTCGACCTGGAGGCTTTCAATAAGTCTACCTGAGTGTGTATCTTAATAAATATACAGTGCAACACCGCTTCCTTTTTTCCTTTCTGTCCTTCCTCTGTAAATTACACCATCCAGACAATATCCTAGTTGTGTGAACTATCCCACTAACTCTCAAGTTATCCTAATATATTATCATTTTGTGTGTGTACTATGATGCCTAACTCTTCCTGCTTATTCCCCATACTTCTTACAGTGGCATATAAACATCCTGAGTGACCAGCAGATTACTCTTTTAATTCTTTCTTAAAATAACCTTGTTAAAATTCTCCATATTGCCTCCTCTCCCTGGGCCTTTATTCAGGTCATCTTGCACTTTATCTACCCATGGGATTTTGTCTCCAACACTCATTAAACATAGTTTAAAGCCTTCCTCATTGGGTTAGCTCACCTTATGTGCAAAGATGCTACTTCCCCTATTTGTTAGAGGGACCCTAACCCTGCTCAGCAGGCCTTCTTTCTGAAATATCACTCGAGAGAGCAGTGTTAGTTCAGAGTTAGATGGCTGTAAACTGCATGTGCTTAAAAGAAAACCTAGGCCTGGTGAATTTAGCTCTGTATGTACATCCAGCATTCTGAGTACATTTTATCATATGCAGGGATCCTGGTTTTCTCTGTTTAAAAAAAAATTCCCAATTTTCGTGTTAAAAAAAGTTACCCAAAATCCATATGATCAAAATGCAACACCACTATATGTATATCTATGTATTAGAGGCATTACATTTTAATCACGGAAAAATGTGGATTTTGGGTTACTTTTTTTAACCCGAAAATTGGTGACTATTTTTCACCCAGGACCCAGGATCCCTGATCATATGGATGTAATGTATTCCAGCTGGGATGGTGAATGCAGATTAGTATCTGCAAGAGTGGTTGAGATATTCCACATTTTTTTTAAAAATTCCTTCTTAAGCAGTAAGTAGACCATTAGGTCTTAAAATGATTCAGCTCCTTGAACATTTTTTTTCAGCAGCTGCTGCAGCAGTGAAAGACAACTAGTATAAAAGGCTGTTTTTAGATCATGGACATATCTGCCAGCACAGATAAGGAGACACTTGCCAAGTCCCAACATACACACACTACATTCAATCAATCACACACAAACATAAACAAGCAAACAGACAACCCTCCCCCATAAGCTAATCATGCTATTTCTCTTTCAGACAAAGAAGAAAGAAAGAGGCAGACTGCTATTGTTATTTTTATTTTAAAATGCATGGTAGGTACTCAGATGCTGTTTGGAAAAGCATATAAAAGGATAGCAACATGCAGGAGTGAGTTGTAGGCCTATTTGAAAAAAAAATGAGTCAGACAGAATTTGTCAGTTTTATCACATGAGATCTGAATCCATTCATTATATTAAGTCCTTTACTACTGTCTACCTCACTAAGAAACAAGAAATGCAATTAATACAAATGAGTCAAAATGGGTGGAATTGATTTATGTAGGAAATCATTTAGTAATATAGAAATGACTTTGGCCCAGTTTTCTCTCTTAAAATCCTAGTTTTCCTAGAGAAAATTTATGAGTGATAGGTATTATGAATCAGGGACCAAACTTGTAAGATTCAGAAGAATAATTGGAATTCTGTTCATTTCCTTTCCTTACTTTTTTCTTACCTAATGATGAACCATCAGAATTAAATGAATTAAAGAAAAATTGCCAAAAGATTTTCTATGAGTATGAAAGAGTGGAAAATATGAACCTTTACCCTGACACAGCAAGTCTTGATATGGCTCCTGATTCATTCCCAGCATAGGCAGTATTCTGGAGATATTAGAGCAGCGGTGCCAGATTGGCGGTGCCTGGCCCATCCATGAGGCGTATCCAGCCAGTGTTCCCGATTCAGTGCTCGGGCGGGTATGATGGGCACCATCTGGCTGCACAGAGTGATCAGGGGGCAGGCTGGCCCCAACGTACCCCACAGGGGAAAGGACCCTGACCTAGCTCAGTGGAGAGGGAAGGGAGTGTGGCCAGGCCCCAAACTGACCCCGTGGCCCAGTTCTGCGGGAAGGGACAAGGACATGGCCTGACTCCATTCCAGAAATGGGGGCAGGTATGGCCTGGCCCCATGGGAGACATAGCTTGCCTTTGACCAGCTGTGCAGGGATTGGAGCTTGGGTATTTGGCAGTGAGAAGGGTGACTGTGTCAATGGCCACTGCTCCCCCACTGCAAAATTCCCGGATACATGGGGAACTCCGAGGGTCAGATAAAACAAGCAGCTTCAGTGACTTCAGGAGACAGGAAATGATAGTAAAGAATCTATTTTAATTGAAAGAAAATTGAATTTATGGCCATGTATCTAAATTGTCCAGTGTAAAAGGGACATAACGGTAAAAGAATATCACATTCACATGTGTATTAAGTTAGTTTATTACAAAACTAAATTAATAAACATGTAAATGTAATATTCTTTTACTGTTCTGGCCCTTTTACACTGGACAATTTCAATTAAAATACATTCTTTGCTACCATTTTCTAACAATCTGTAAACATTATATTGGTTATTCCCATTAGCTATGTAAAAACTTATTCAGACCTTGAAAAAAACATCCCATCTTCAGCTTTTTCTTTTGGGGTTATGATGTAGGAAATGCAGGGAGTCTCTTCCATTCTGTCTCCCAGGTAAGATCCAGAAAGAATTGTAACTGCAGCAGTGCTTATGGCTGGTCAACTAGCTAATTCAAAATAAAAGTTTCGCTGTGACAGTTTTTGGTTGTTGTAACTTCCACGGTTCCTTGATTCCAAACTTGCCAGGATAAGAAATCAATGGAGTTTTGTCTGGAAGATTTGCTGCACTGTGCCAGGTCGGTGTCATTTTGTGGGAGCATGCCATGCTCTAGATTCTTGGGAATGCCTGCTTGGCATACAAAGAAGGGGTTCTCCAGTGAGGGATTCAAATTTTGGAATCTACTATCTCATTACATTCTGAAGTGGTCTTCAGGACAGGTAGCAATACTTCTCTTTCACAGAAGGGCTGGCATTGCTTTGTGGATTAAGTTATTATGTGCCTGCAGTGGTTTTTTTCCTTTCCTGGTTCATTTTGTTTGAATTTGTCATAATTGATTCATAATACATATGTTATGAATTATATGCCCTGTTCGATCTATATACGCAGAGTGCCTTGGAGAGGTGCTTTCTCAAGTTATATATAAATCTAAATATATAAATCACGTAAGGAATTAATCTGAAGTAAGTAAAAAGTGCAAAATTTCCCCTTTTAAAATAAGGAGGATTTGCAGCAAAATGTTACAGTGTATTTGGGACTTTTCAAAGAAATCAGTAGGATTTAAGTACCCTGTTTTCATTAGGATTTGGGCACCTGATTCCTTCTTATTCCTTTGAGGGATATGGGACTTACAGGAACTTACACAGTGTTGTGTGCATTTTCTTTCCTGTTAGTGTTAGAAGAAATGTTCTTGTTGACATACTGGAAGCGCATGCTATTACTATGTGCTATAATTCAGCCCATGTGGAATGATAAGATTGCTGCTGCTTCTTCTAGCTTCCGCTTATGTCAATGTACCAGCTGCAATAATATTTCAAGTCAATCCCTGTCTCTGGATAGTTGGGGGAAGGTCAGCTATATTTGACTCTCCTTGCCCTGAGAATGAAGAGAGTACAGCTCTTCTATCAGTGTCCTAAAATAGAAGGCCCTTTCCATCTGTTGGTCTGAAGTCAGCCTCATGGAACACAAATCAACCAGAGGGCACAGGGCTACAGAGAAAGAAAGACAAGGAACGATAAAGTTCTTCAGACAGAGGTTTCATTGTCCAGACAGCATTAACTATCAACTAGCTTAATTTCTTTTTTTTTTTTTGTCCTTTTTTTGGATGGATACATTTTTAAAAACAATTTTAAGCCTGATTCATATTCATCTGGAAAGAAATCAATAATGAAACTGAATGTGGGAATATTTTTTGGAGGCTTCTTTGGGGCTCTGGGAATTTTGCTCTTTTTGGTGGCCTTTGGAACAGATTACTGGCTTCTCGCTACAGAAGGTGGAAAGTGTACAACAGGTCCAGATGACGTTGGGGTTCGTATGTATATTTCTTCTTCATAATAATGACCTCTACAAGTTCAGAGGTGTGTTGATCTCTTTCTACAGGGAGCAAGAACTTCTGTATTGAAACTTATGTACAGAATCACAAAATGCAGTCTGAAGTTCTTACAAAAGGAGCTATAAGTGTACGGCTCTTTTGAGATAATCAACAGGCAGATAGGGTGCATTTTATTATTTTTTCAGCTTTTCACCTATATTCAATAGGACTTGATTCTCTCAGCTACCTGTCTTGAATCAGGCTGCAAAGATTATGTTTGTTTTGTGTAGGAGGAAAAGATCACTTTCCACCATGAAGGTTTCTTCTGGAGGTGCTGGTTTAGTGGAGATGTAGGGGAGAACACTACTAACATTTGGAAATTCTGGTACAGTAAGTGACCTTTTAAGTTTTTGCATTCCCCTTACCACTCTGTTGTAAAAGCCGATTTTTTTTTGGTTTGTTTGGTTGTTTATCATTGGTTCGGATTAGCTCTGTGGTAGCCAAGTTCCTTAGTTACATTACTAATTAAACTGTGACAAGCAATGATTTAACTGAAAAAGACAAAAATAGAACAAAATCATGCATGCATATATCCCAACTCTTTCTTATCCATAACTACACTAGCAGACAGAGTCATCTTCAAGTTATCAGTTACCAGGACAATCTTTTGCAGTTTGTTGTTATCTGACCACTTGCTTTCTTTAACAAGATTGTAGGAAGCAGAACAGAATGAAGCATAAAGTTAGAAAAAATCCCTTATATTCCACTCTCAAATTTTCTGGTGAGGGATGGGTGGGCTGAAGAGGAAATTGAGTTTACCCTCACTAAAGGACAGATCAGAAGAATCCCTCTCCTAAAATATGCCAGCGATCTGAGATCTAAATGTAATCTAGAAAATCATCAGGACATAAAAACACCATCTGAAAGGTTGCCGAGAGGTACTAAGGTACCAAGCACCATCTGATGTCTTCTACAGGTACACTTCTTGAAGGCATCACTTTTTGTAACTGGATTTACCATCAGGAATCTCCCATACGTAGGCTGGCCACAGAAAGTCCCTTTCATTCCTCTTGGCCCATCTCTCTTAATCACAGAGCCCCTTATTAGATTTCCACACAGCTTGTGACAACTGAAAGGTTGGAGAAGAGCTGCACTGTGCAGGTGTGACCTCAATCTGCCATGTTTTGCTATCCATGTCATTCAACATTAGGTAACACATGTAATGCCTTCTGTAGCTAACTTCCCTTGAATCTTATAAGCCTTGAAATTGTCAAGAACATTCGGCATTTGGAAGTTTGAAATATTTAATCCATTTAATCTAGTGAATATTCATCATGCACAGGGAAGAATGAAGGTGATAGGCCTTTTATAAACATTTCAGATCAGGAAAAAAGATGCTTTCATTTTTCCCTGAGATATTGGCACCATAGACTTTGGTTGAAAACACAAACCAAAAGCTGTGAAAAAGTTTCTCTCACTGCCCTAATTCAGGGCTGCATTTTAAATATCTCCATCCACTTAGGATCCTGAGTTCAGATTTCTTTCCTGAGAGTTGGCCCATAACAGGCAGTACCTAATGCTTTTTAGAAAGACAGTAGTAGTGGCACCTAAATTTACTATAACAGCCTAACAAGTAGAGAACTTGGCCAATGAGAAAGCTGGGTTCTAGATCATCCTTAGCTCTCATATGAAATTATCCTAACCAGTGCAATATTGAACCATCTAGCTGGTAGCACCTTTATGCCTTCTGTTGAAGCTGGGTCATTGTCTAGCTAAGAATGCAGGATCATGGAACCAGGCGGAGAACAATGAAATGGGAACCTGGCTCTACAATTCCTGGGAGGTATGAGTCCTGGGCTATAGCCTCAGTTCCCATTAAGGATTCTTAATGTATTTAGACAGCTATAGGATAAAAAGCAGAAATAAGCTTTCAGGGACCAGACCCTAGATCAGGGGTGTGCAATTATTTCAGGTGCAGGGCTGCCCATTGAGTTCTGGCAAGCCATCGAGAGCCGCATGACAGGCAGCCAGGGTCAGATAAATATTAAGTTTCTAAATTTTTAGGGGCCCCATGGGCTGGATACAATGGTCCGGCAGACCGCATCTGGCCCAAGGGCTGCATTTTGTTCACCCCTGCCCTAGAATTCCCTCTCTTGTCTAAGTGCCTTAACCACTTAACAGTACTTCCACTGCCGCTTGAATTCTACTCTATGGAGCGGCTCAGCTACTTCAACAGTGGGGGTAGATGTTTTCCCTCTTACACAGTTCTCCTATTGGGGTAATTTCTGCAAAGTAGGAGATGTAGTGTTGAATCCTTCTAGGCTGAGGAGGGCCTAGAACAGGTCTCCCATTTTTTAGATGGTTGCTATAATGATTAAGTTACTTTAAAGGGGGCAGATTCCTTCTCCAGCTTTTGAATGAAAATGACTGTGGATACTGTGCTTTGTCCTACTGGGTTGCATTAGGCCTTCTCAGCGCACCTAATGGATTAGTCCTCCCTGGAGACTTGGGTAGAGTTTAAGTGCCACTGCATCTCATGTATGTATCACAGCAGAGCATAGGTAGGAACTAGACTGCTCAGACTTGATGATTCAGTGCTCGCTCAGAAACCTAAGCTGAGGTTACTTATGGAACTTGGTGGTCTGACATGTAGGCATCAAATGGTGAATAAGGGGTTTTCGTGCCTGCTGGTACGGGGGTTTTCTGGACCGCTTTTCTGGACTGAGGCACTAATATTCTGCTTACGTTCATTTTACAAACACTCTCTGGATCTCACCTTTAGTCCTTAGAAAAGCATGTACGTATAACTTTATTGAACTATATTCTGGCTGTTACTAAAGTCTTTATGCTGCTACGGAAGTAGAATGTTTCCTTTAACCTGCCCTACCTGGGCATTCTCCTCAGATAGGGCTATTACTAAAAGAGAGGCAAATGGGTAGAATTGATCTCTGGTATGAAGCCATTTAGTACAATAGGAATGGGGCCAAAGTGGATATTGCCTCCCTTGCTGTAGTAAAATCTACAAGAAAGTTCATAAAAATTTTGTCCAAAAAACCCCCAAACAAGCCAGCCTTGTAGACTGGACTATAGAACTCAGCCCAACACTTCAGACTGTTTTAAACTTCTGTTGGGAAAAGATGCAGTGCATCTTCATCAACACTAATGTTGAACCTTTTTCTTCTTTTTCCTAGCCAACCAGCCACCTTCTAAAAATTGCACACATGCTTACCTCTCACCATTTCCTCGTATCCGAGATGAATACAACTCAACCTCCTATGACTCTGCAATCAGTAAGTACTTTCTTTGGCTGCAAACGGTTCTGATACCTATACTTGCCAGAAAACAAATTTGAACACTCCAGTACACAATAGCTTTATCACTTCACACAGTTTAATTAATAGACTTTTGGTATTTCATACAATTTGGAAATAAAAAGTGCAAGCAAAAATGCCTTTACTTCCCTTCACCAGCACTGAATTGCTCATTTCTGAAAGATGGTAATATTTAGGCCACTGTCCAGCAAACTCTATAGCACATTTAACTTTAAGCATGGGAATAAAGTTATGAAACCACACAGGATACCTCCCAAGCTTAAAGCTAAGTGTGTGTTTAAGTGCTTCTTTGGATAAGAACCATAGTCTACAAATATGACATTTCCTTTTTGAGAGAGATTTTTGTTCTTTTAACAATAAATAAAGTGTCTCCCTAAAATTTGAGCTTAGACTTGGATAAAGTATAAAATATAAAACCATTTAGCTATTCTACAAAGAGTAAAAAAATTCCATGAATCTCCTCATAGTTAACCTCATACAGTTATACATTCATGAACAGTTATACTGTTCATGTAAAGAATATTTCTACTTCACCTATTTTTGTTTTTCTTGACATGGGTTTAGTGAGGTCACTCTACAGTAATGATTCAAATTTTTCTTTTTGTGGTTTTGATGGTGTTAGGGGATTTTTTTTATCTTTATGCAGTCTGAGAGAGAGAGAGAGAGAGAGAGAGAACGAACAATTTGGGTTCTTTGAATCAGAATCTTTAAGTTTCCACTAAATTAATATTTGAGGATACACTTGTATTGGTCTTATTTTGTCAGGTACACCCTAATGGAGCATGTATGCTGTGTAAGATTTAAAAACCTATACATCCCTGCAGTATATGTTGACACCAGCAAACTCTACAGGAATTACTCTAATATACAATGCTAAAGACATCATTATCTGCACAGAACTTGAAAACCTGTGTTTGTACAGCTGCCATTAAAATGGACAGATTTGACTGAAACAAGGACTTTATGCAAATGCAGCAAAAATTACTTTTGAAGTAGTATGTGGTTCCTCTGTTTTTCAACTGTAACTCATAATATATGGATAAATGGCTGCTGTGTATTGTTGGACCTTCACTATACCTGTTTGCAGTTGCTTACAGGATCCAGTTTTATTTTACATATGGCTCACATAAGAAAATAACATGCATTGCCAGAAATTCTATTGATATTTTTAAAATATATGAACTAATAGCAGAAGCAGAGTACAAACTTAGTCATTTAGAGTCAGAGGTCAAATCTAGGACTTTACAGCACGTCTACTGAAGTTTAATCTTTCCAGGTACATATGACAGAACCTTAAACCCCTACTAATCTAGGAAAAGTATAAATCAATCATTAATTCAGAAATTCACAAAAAATCTTCAAATTATTATACATGATTACACACAGATGGACAAATAAAGAATAAGAAAGGGAGAAGGAATATCATCAAAATTTTAATTATTTTAGTTAATATTTGCCAAAAGAACCATTGCTTAAATATAATTTACTTACTTATATTTCATATTAGAAGATTAGAGACTATACAGTAGATGCTGTTTTAGGAAGTGTATTCAAGACCATTCCTACTATATAAATAGAGACACAACTGGATTGCTTTGGAGCTTATTAAATCTGTGTTAAGAAAGAAATTGTTTCAGCATCTGAGATTAGTTGTTTACTAAAGCAGATCTTCATGTTAAAGAAACTTTACATGTGAGCAGAATAATACCCCCTGATGTTTGATGCTTTTTATATTGTCATTTTTGCCAGTGCAAAAGCCTCCTTGGGCTTTGGCATAACACAACTACCTGCAACATCTTCTAGAAGTTTGTATACCTTGCTGGAATTGTGCTTGCTAAGGGAAGAAAATATTATTAATGTTCTATTATTTTTAGCATACCCTGGGAGAAATTATAGCTGTTGAAGACAATGGTAAAACTCCAATTGAGATCAATCTGACCAAGAGTTAACCAATTATTTGTGTGTCTGGGTCCAATATTAACTAAATAAAGGACAAAAATGAGACTATCAAGACACTGAGATTACTGCCTTCTTTTATCTCTTTTCTGTTGTTTGCTGATGATCCTGGTTACCTCAGCTGATATCTCAATGTTGCAAAACATGAATGGATCACAACTCCCTTTTCACAAGCTCATAACTTTCTCAACAGTCTTCCAAGCTTGATTTTTTCCTTGAAGAGTTATTTATTCATTCATGGTCAGTCCCTTAAAACATGCTTTATTTATGGGACAATCAGGAGGAAGAAGGGCAACATGACTGAGTTGGGGGGGGGGGGGCGCTATAGGGCACAGTGAGCTGAATATAAAATGTAAGGGTATAATGTTGTTGCAAAAAAGTTAATAGCATGCTGGATGTATCAGTAAGAGTGCCATATTCAAATTATGGGCACGCAAGATATTTCTGCTCTGTTCTACACTGGTGAGGACTCACCTGGTGTACTGTGTCCAGCTTCAGGCACTATACTTTAAGAAAAATGTGGACAAATTGAAGAGTCCCGGGGTGAGTAGGGGAACCAAATATGATTTGAGGTCTTGAATACATGATACTTGAGTAATACTTGAAAGACTGGAATTATTTAGGCTAGAAAAGGGATAACTGAGAGGAGATAATGACTAGAAAAAAAAAAAAGATATAAAAGATGATGATAATCAGTTGCTATTTGTGTCTACTGTGGACAGGAGAAGTAGTAATGGACTTATGCAGGGATATCTATGTTTAATATGAGGAAGAACCTTCTAACTATGAGGAAGGCTATGTACTGGAAGAGATTATTTTAGACAGATGGGGAGGTTTTAGAAAAAGCTTATCTGGGATAGTTTAAACAATAATGCTCAGAACAGGAGCAAGTGGTTAGGCTACCTAACCTCCTCAGGGCTATTTCAGTCCTATTTTTCTAAAGGTGATTTTTCATAGACTTTCTCCAAGAAAAGTATTAAACAGCTACCATGACAAAAGCCAACCACAATCATAACAGAACTGGGGATATAAACACCCATCTGCTCATACATTCATAGCCACCTTTACAAGTTAAACATCATAGATTCAAAATTTCAACTCATTACACTTTTTACAGTCACCATTATTTTATATTACTCTGCACATTCTTTTTGTAAACATCATGGTCTGTATTCTATCCCATTCATTGGGCATTTGAGTGAATTTAGGTCTTTAAGTGTGATTCAGGGACTTGAGCAGGGTGAAACAGAGTTGTACTTAGGTGCTTAAGTCCATGTAGACACCTAATAGTTGGAATAAAGTCTTGCCCTGTATGTCTTTTAGGGATTGAATAACAGTTTACAGCAGGGGTGTGCAAAATACAGCCTGCAGGCCGGATCCAGCCCACAAGGCCATTCTATCCGACCTGCAAGGCCCATAAAAAAAAAAAAAGTAGAAAATTAATATTCATCTGCCCTTGGTTCCTGTCAAAAATGAGGAGAGGAGAAGGGCAGGGGGGACCCCAGGCAGGGAATGAGCATGGGGAGGGGGGAAAGCAGCCCCTCCCCCACCCTGTGCCCATTGCCCTGTGCTGCAGTGGCTCACAGCCCACCTGGGGCTGCCTGTAGCTGCTCCGATGAGCATGGGGAGGGGGGAAAGCAGCCCCTCCCCCACCCTGTGCCCATTGCCCTGTGCTGCAGTGGCTCACAGCCCACCTGGGGCTGCCTGTGCCTGCACTGTGAGCGGCTGCAGCAGGGAGCGCCAGCCATGGGGTAGGCAAGGGGCTGCTTTTCCTGCCCCTGAGCTCAGCTTTTCCCTGGGCTTCTTCCTGGTGCAGAGGAAAGTGGCCCCTTGCCCACCCCATGGCTGGCGCTCCCTGCTGCAGCCGCTCACAGTGCAGGCACAGGCAGCCCCAGGCGGGCTGCAAAGCAGCTGCAGCATGGGGCGCTGGGCATGGGGCGGGGAGGGGCTGCTTCCCTCCCCACCAGCGCTCAGCACCACCCTGTAATCCAGCCCCACTGCCAGCCTGGGCCCCACACAGGCTCCAGACTTGCCCACTGGGGCTGTGTGTGGCGACAGCAGCTGCGGGCCCCCCCCCCGCTTGCTGTGCTGGGCAGTGTTTGCCACTGCTGCCTGTGGGCTGCCCAGTGTGCGAGCTCTGGGGTGGGTTACAAGCTGGTGCTGAGCGTGGGTAAAAGCGGCCCCTCGCTCGCACCATGGCTGGCACCCTGCACTGTAGTTGCTTGTAGCCCGCATGGGGCTGCCTGTGCCTGCTCCAGACAGCCCCATGTGGACTGTGAGCACCTGCAGCAGGAAGCGCTGCCCATGGGGCAGGCGAGGTGCCATTTTTCCCCCACGCTTAGCACCAGCTTCTTTCCTGCTGGCAAGCAGGGGGTCAGGGCTGTGTGCTGCCCCACGCCTGTACTGCGGGGCTGGGGGACACTGGTAGTGAGTGGGCGGGGAGCCAGAGGGAGCACGGGGCCTGCACCGGTGTCCTAGGGCCAGTGCTGGCGGGGCCCAGAGCAGGGTGGCAGGATTACAGGGTCCCAGCTGGCAGGGGCTCTATGGAGTCGGGCCAGCTCCCCCTTCTTCCTGCTGGTGCAGCCCAGCCTGGCTCCATAGACCCCTGCCAGCCTATGCTCTGCTGTGGGCCCCACTGGTGCTAGCCCTGGGGCATTGGTCCCAA